AAAGGCCCGTTCCATATAATACCCTCGGCAGTAATCCCTAGGCTTTGGATACTCCGTCAACAGCAATAATTTGCGGTTTCAGCAAACAGTTTGAATATCTGCTTACCGGCACATGTAATATCTGACAGCCCTAGGGTGTGCAAGAATAACTATCGTAGTGTATACCTCTTTAACGTATATAACTCTCAAAAGCAATACGGAGTGGACGCAGTGTGTAGTCAATGCATCTAATTAATAGCAAATCATAGTATCCTAGGATGTGACTCAATCGTCCCGTCATCACCAGTGTAGTCCCTACTGACTCCGTACGCTTCAGAGTAACGTTCCTTAACTGAAAATCATTTTGGAATTTCCACTCCTCTGCAAATTAAGCTGCTCAAGACTTATGATGCGCTTGAGCTCCGTCCTCCTTCTGATAGCAGCCACTTTCTTTGTCAAATGCGATGCTGCCACAGCTGATACCGACTCTACAATGATTTCAGTGATGTCTACTGTTGCCCCCATGAAGGGTGCGAGATTCCTGCGCACCGTTTCAAGGCAACAGGATAACGCTGAAGAGGACGATGAAATTGACGCTCTGGATTCGCAAGAGGAAGAGAGAATGGTGGCTGTGAAGAACTTTAAGCCGTCGACAATATACAAGAACAACCCACTCCTTCGTCCTGCTGCGGAAGTCTTGGCGGCAGCGCAGAAGGCAGACAACGCGCTGCTCGCGAGGGTGCGACAGGATAAAACCCTTCAAAGCATCTTCAAACAGATAGAACAAACGTCGGGAGCTGAAAGAAGGATCAAGAATTGGCTGGAGCAGAAGAAGACGCCGGAGCAAATTGCTTCCATGTTCAGAAAAGATTACCCAACTCTCAGCATACAAGGGGCGGAGTGGAAGTCCCTGAGACTTTACACGGCGCTCTTTATGAGGCAGCATCACTCGCTGAATCCGACTGTGAAGTTAGGGTAGGATGTCGACCAGGAGCTGGGTGTGTAATGAGTGATACGTATTGTACAAGGGACGATTTTTCAAATTGTACGATGCGCTGCCTCTGCCATTTTTTGAAAATTACTTTGGTGCATGAAATCAGCTAGAACTTGGTTGTACTGGCAGGTGAATTGGGTGGATGTTGCGTCCTGAGTCGTACACATAGGGAAACACTGGACTCTGATATCTGTACAAGAGTACTAATCCATCATATGGGTCACATGTCAGTTCCTCATGGGTAGATTTCATCTTTATTAGAAATGGCGCATCTATTGGGTAGATGAAGATCTAGATGAGTGGCGGTGGCGGTGGGGACTGCAATCATTGTGACTTTGAACGCCATCTCTGTTAATCGGGGATAGGATAATAATATATTTTAATAAGAATTTACGGTGAGCTTATAATTTTTGATTTTCTATCGTCGAGCTTTACAGTAAATAACAAATTGTGCCAATAATAATTATACTGAATAATCAAAAACCAATTGCTCGTCCAAGCAAATGCAAGTTTGTTCTTTGGAGTCTATCTGGCAGAAGTCGGAAAACTAATAAAAAATA